ATCTGGCTGTATCTTCTAGGAGTCTGGTGTCCAAGTCTTCTGAAACCATCTTGGGTCAACTGTTAGAGGCTTTGGGAATTCTGTCGGCCATAAACTTAAAAATATACTATTAGCAGACTTCTGATAAGATTGAGAGCCATAAGGATTGGTTGTAACTGAATAGAATTTAATAGCAGTAGTAAAAATCTATTAAGACAGAGCCTTTCCTATCCTGTCTTAAGTAACTTTGGCAGGTTGTATAGGTAGAGAAAAGCACATTTTTGTATCAGCAAAGAAACATTTGGCTAGGACCAGAATAAGAAAGCTGGATTGTTCAGCTGTCGGGTTGGGGATGTGAGCCACAGGTGCTGCGGGTCAAGTCTGCTGCAGTGCGGGACTTCCTACTAGCTGTCGGAAGTCACTGCCCAGTGTCTCTGGCAGCTGCAGTAGGCAAGGAAAAGCAAGCATGTTCTGTATCACACCAATGTTCATGTTAGCTGTTCTTGTGGCAGAAGGTACCACTAACACTCACTTTACAGGTCCGGGGCAGAGAGGGAGAGAGAGTGCCTCCCTGCATGATCAGGCAGCCAAGCCCTTTGCACGGGTGGTTGTGCACGTGGGGAAGCAAGTCTCAGAGAGGGTCCCTGGCAGGATGCAAGGAGCAGACCCACACCGGAGCTAAGAACCACAGAGGGGGCGGGCAGTGATGACATACACCTTTAATCCCAGCACTTGGGAGGCAGAGGCAGGCAGATTTCTGAGTTGGAGACCAGCCTGGTCTACAGAGTGAGTTCCAGGACAGCCAGGGCTACACAAAGAAACCCTGTCTGGAAAAAAACAAAACAAAACAAAAAAGAACCAGAGAGGGGAAGGGAGCAAGCCGTCCCGGACCACTGCTTCAGGCAAACCGGCTGACCGGTTGCAAATGATGGAGGAGGGGGAGTAGCGCACGAACGGCTGACCCCTGGAGGAGACACGCCGGAGACTAGAGTTGAAGCCAGTGCTCCCGAGAGATAACCGTCTGTCCAGGCCTGGCCTAGGGTACTGAGCCATGAGAAACTGTCTCAAGAGGAGAGGGGAAATGTCTCATCCAAGGGGAGCAGTCCTAGAACGAGGTTCAGGGAAGGACAGGGTTAGCTTCTAGCTCAAGAAATCTTTCCTGGGACCATGTAGACAGTTACTCTGACCAGTGGGGAATGGCGGAACAGGTAGACCACATAGAAGTATTAGAGCAAAGGTAGATAAATGCTTGGATATAGGGAATTTCTTTCCATTTACCAGACTGCTGGCAGTACGTGTTAAGACCCTTTAAAATAATTGGGTCTAGCATGCCATTAAGTGGCCACTTTAGTCCATTATCTAGAGGGTATCGAATCTAGACCTTATTGCAGAGGTGTATCAATTTGGAAGGCCTCAAATCAGGCGTTAAATTTAGAGATTTGAGGTTTTTCAGGAGACAACCCAGTGGGGTGTCTGTGGGTGCAGTCGAAGACAACGTAGTGCCCATTGGGTGGGGGTTGTTACCAGAGCTACTCGTATTGGCGTCCCGAAAGAAAAGTCAGCAATGAAATCAGGCAAACAGCCTAGATATCAAGTTGTCATGAGAATATCTAGGGGCCTCGGCTGCGGCGGAACTCCAGAGTTTCGCCAGAAAGTAGTCCAACCTAGTACTAGAATTTCCGGCTGCTGCAAGAGCTTGGGGGGACCTGTGAACTACTTCCGAGGGGGGGGAGTCACCCAACGGCCAATGTCCTAAGTCGTAGCTCAGCTAGAGGCCAGTCATATGGACCGGGGCAATGAAAAGCCAGCCCCTTAGCCCAGGGAAGGCTGGCCAGGCCCTATCTGGGCGTCCAGGGTCCCTCCCACCAATTGGAAGCTCTTTACCAGTTAATACACTGGTGTGTGTTTGTGGGCTTGTGCAGTCTGGTATCAGGAAAGGTGGAACTGTGAGGTCTGTGTCCCTGTCTGGCTACCCAGCCCACGTGGCAGAGCACCCCATGGGGGCTGCAGCAGCACAGTTCACGTAGTGGAAGTTTTGTCTGCAGCAGCGGTGCTGCATGGGGTCACAGCAGGCGGCTGGCAGGAGCTGCTGTCACACCCAAAGTATTCGGTCATGTCAATGCACCAGTGTTAGACTTGGGGGTGCAACTTAGAACAGACACCACCAGACCAAATGGTTCCAATGGGAGAGGGTTTATTTAGGACAAAGGGCAAAAGTGGGGAGAGAAATGGGAGAAGATGGGAGAGAGAAAAGAGAGAGTGGAGAGAGAGAAGTGGAGGCCGGCCATGAAGATGTGAAGAGGGGGAAGGTAAGGGGAGAGGAGCGAGGGGACAGAGAGAAGCTAGAGGCAAGAGAGTAAGAGTGAGAGGAGGGGGGCAGCCCTTTTTATAGTGGCTGGGTTTATGAGTAGTCTGGTGAAATGATGGGTAAACATAATAGATCATAATTAATGGTGATGAGGTTGCCAAGATAATTTAATGCAGAAAAGAGTTCTTGCAATTAACAGTGTTTGATGTTCATATCGAGGAGACATACCTCTACATCATATTCAAAGTTAAGAGACTTACACTAGTATGTATGGAAATAATAATGTAACTGTAAGACTTTCAGGTCTCAGTTTGAATTTAAGATTAAAAGAATCTCACTGTCCCAGGACACATCCTGGGAGGGGCACATTCCTTAGTCAGAGGACACTTGCTGAATTAACATTCAGAGGAGGAAGGGAGAGGCTGATTAACATTCCTCAGACCACAGGAGAAGAAACCCACCTGCTGGTGAGGAGGGCCCAGAGCACATAGACACATTCCAGGAATCAGGAAGCTGAGCCCTTAATGTAATAAACCTGGGCAAATGGAGGACACTCCTTGTCATAATCTGGGTCACCTAGAGACCGAACCTGGGAAGGTCAGACTTTGTGGTTTGCCCTCGTGAAATCAGTACCGTACGTATGCAACTCTTGTTCGGGGCTCTCTTGCCTGCATGTGAGAGTCCTAGTGCACTAGTTTCATTAAACCTCATGGTGCCTCATGTGATTGCAGTGAGTCCTGTCCGTGTGTGGTTCTGTGGGAGCACGTCCCCTGGTTTTGGATATTACAATCCAACATAACCTTATGGACTAACTTTGAGTCTTGGAGTTAAATACTATTTTTGTGTATGTGTGTGACAGGAAAAATATCAAAGGAAATAGGTAAATATAACTTTATCAAAATTTAAAGATTGGGCTGGGGATGTAGTTCAGTTGGGAGAGTGCTGTTGTGGATATTGTATTGGTCTTGTATTTTGATGCTAATTCCTCTCTCCTGGGAGGGGCTGTAGATGAGGAGTGAATCAGTATACAGGTAACTGGTGAACCTTCTGCCCACCTTAATTTGTAGAATAAAGGCTAGAGCCAATGATTGGCCAGTAGTAGGTGAATCAAAGAGTTTTGGTGGGGGGGGGGAGGAGGATGAGGAGGAAGGTGGAAGGACAATGGAGGAGAAGCACGTGGCCTGGAAAAAAATGCAGGTTATAAGGGATCTCATGGATGGGGAAATAGAGTAGTGTAGTGGTAATTCTGCCCAATCTAGGTGTGCAGTTTGTACTTACATGAGTTGTGTTTTTATTGACCGGGCCTCGTTGGGTTGGAAATTTACTGCAACAAAGTGCTTGCCTAGCATGCAGTCTTGGATTCTTGCCAGCACAACAGCAAATGTTCTTCATTGCTGGGCCATCTCTCCAGCCCATACACAGAATTTTAACAAAGCCACTGGATCTGAAACTAGATTCCTTTAGTGTCTAGTCCCTCATTGTGATGAGGAAGAGCAACGCTTCAGACATATGCTTACTGTTTCACAAATGAAGACTTCCAAAGTGTAACGACGAATGAGAATAAAATAAAAGCCTGTACTTATGACTTGTCTCTATAAAGTGAGCTAGAAAGTTCTGAGGTCTGGTCAAAGGTAGAGAGTAGCTGATCCACACACTTGAATATAATTGTAAAGGGACACACACGGTGTTCCATCAAGACCCAGCAAAAAGTTACCTTGTTTCTATGTATGTTCTAACTAAAGAAAGATTGCTAGGGAGGCAGAATTTACATGGACCAGAAAGCTTTCAGTTCACAATAAAAGGTTTGTTACACTTTCTAGAGTAGAATCTACAGCTGGAATTGAGATCCACTTCTCTACATTAAAATATTTATAAAAGAATCTATTTCTAATTATCATTTTCCTTTTTAGGTAGAGGACAACCTTTCTGCTTCTACTTTAAAGTCAGACATACTTGGACATTTAAGAAGCCAAGACAGAGTCACTGCTCAAAAAAAACCACGAAAAAGGGTCCATCTTTCTCTTTGGTGTGATCTAGTCAGTGGGAAGGCTGCATACTATCTCAACCTCGTGTTCTATGTCAGATGTGGGAATTGTGGGATGTGGGAACTGACGCCACTGCACTTGGGTCACGTCAGTTTAGGGAAGCAGCAGAATAATGGAAAAGAAAAACTTACATTGATATCCCTATCATCTAATCTAAAGTGAAAACGAACAAGGTACAGAGTAATTACACATGTAATTCCTGAAAAGTGTTATACACAGGAATTTGAGTGAGTCCTGAAGGGTTGGAGCGATGGCTGAGGATAAAAGCACTAGCTGTCATTCTTCCAGAGGTCCTGCCTGAGTTCAATTCCCCAGAAACCATATGGTGGCTCACAACTATCTATGAGATCTGGTGCCCTCTTCTGGTGTCTAAGCATGCATGCAGGCAGAGAACTATATACATAATAAAAAAAATCATAAAAAAAAAGATTGAGTCACGGAAGTAAGTACATATCTATATCTGTATTTATATATAGATGTAACTCCCCACCCCACAGTGGGAATCAATCAGCTAGTGAATGGGTGACTTTGGTCTTTACCTTTAATGTAGTATCAGGATTTTGGACACTGTGATAATTACTTGAACCACATTTAAAATAAGGCGAAAAATATGTATGGTGTGTGTGTATATGTGTGTGTGTGTATCCCCCAGAAAAACACAAAAGGAATGGAGTTTGTTTGGTTTATTTAACAAACTGAAGCCTTAAAGCATTTGTAATTTTTATGTACTACATTCAGGTATCCCAGTTGGTCTGAAGTAGAAATGCACTTCTATAGCTTCCTTTATAAGGTTCAATTATCTTCTTTTTACATTAGGATTATATCTGCAAAGAAAAAAAGTTAAAAGACATTTCAGTAGGGATCTCATCCCTACTGAAAACCTGCTGTCAACCTGCAGTCTTCATGTTAGCAGACTGCATTAAAACTAAAACAACAGCATAAAAACTTAGTGTGGGTTTTAATACATTCCATATAAACATTTCTACAAAACAAAGTATATTGTTTGTACAAAAAGCATAGTGCCTCTAAAATATAATTACTCCTTTATAAGATTTTCTCCTATAGAAATTCAGCAACCAGATGTCTTATTGATTTTTCTTGTACTCATGAAAAATCAGTATTGTCACCATTCTTACCAGTGACTTACACTGTCAACTATCAAGTCAATAAAATCCTAAAACTGGCTGCAAACAGATTGGGGGGTTAGGGGTGGCAAGATGACTCAGCAGGTAAAATTCTTGCTGCTGAGCCTGATGACCTGAGGTCAGTCCCCATGACCCACATGGCAGGAGAAAACAGACTCCTGAAAGTTGTCTTCTGAACTCCACACACTCACTATGGCATTTATGCTTCAACACGCATATGCACAAATGCAGGTATAGATAAATGTGTGCACATACATATACAGTAAATGTGTTTAAAAAAACAGATTAAGGCATCCTGTATTTTAGGTTGAGAAAGAATGGTACTCTGTCTCAACCAGTGTCTACCTGATATGGTAGTTCATTAGTATTTGAGAGGTCACCATTCCAAAGTTTATTGGGTTTCTAGAAATCTCAAACTATATTAAATTTTAAATTCTTAACAACTTTCTAAAACCAGCCATAAAGCAAAGAGCCAGCTTTGAATTTCTCATTCAATCTTTAATTTTTATCCATTTTTCAAATTAAAACTAGACAATGGTCTAGACTCTTAATTGTCTGATTTTAAGATATGTTCCTTTAATTCTACTATAACAAAAACCTCACAGATTGATAACTGAAATACTTTTGGAACCTTCCCTTGCTGAAAGATACCATGTAAAATTTAAACATCTCATGATAAAACTGAATCAACCTATTAAATTTCCTACAGCCAGGAAATTTAATCAATGTATTCAAGTAATAAAAATACATGAGTTACAAGTCAAACATTCTTTATGTGAAGGTATTGCGTGTCTCTTATAAGGACAGAAGAAACAAATATTTGACTGTCATGAACATAAGTGAATCATATCTACATTTTACAAATAGTCTTGGGAGAAAAGTAAAATCTTACCTAAACAGATCATCAGCAAGAGATTCTTCTTTTGCTTGTTGTTTCTGTACCTGTCAAAGTTAACATAAGGTGAATCATTTACATAGCAGCAAATACTTGTTAATACTTGTTAATATCAGTCATCCTCCAGATTTCCGTATCACTCATCAGCAGGTTTTCTCTAGTCTTTCCCATTCAGCTGGCCCCTCTATTTTCACTTCATGGTAAGATTATTGCAAGATTGTAGTTAAGTAACTGTCTAGTCAATTTCACTGATCAACACTGATAGCTAGTTTACTGAGTTTGTAAACAGTCTTTTTGGCAGAAAGTTCAGTGCTTTGGGCTCAAACCTGAAATTTAGGAACAGCTAGATGGTTCAGTGAGTGAGGCTGACAAGCCTGATGATCTGAGTTCAATACCCAGGACTACATGATAGAGGGAGAGAACAACTCCAAAAGGCCTCTGGCCTCCCTACACATACAATAGTATGGAAGTGCATGCACATACACTCAGAAACATGCAAAACCACAAAATTAAACTTTTTACTTAAGGACTTAAAGAGAGACTTGTCTGTCTAACTTGCTGTGAGTCATAGTCACTGCCCAACATCTCAAGTGACCATGAACTTGAAAGCAAGTGCAATAATCATGTCGGCTTCAATCAAAGTAGCATGACAGGCAAATGGTTTCCATCCCTCTTGCTTCTAAATCAGGAAGAAGTTTTTGGCCACAATAATTTTCAACAGACCTCACCAAGCTCCTAAAGTACCACAGAGTTGGGATCAGGGAAAAGCCTCTACCGAAAGCTCCTCTCTCAAGCCCAGTGTGATCCTAGCACATGCCATTTGGTACTCTTCCATAACTCCTATCTACCGAAGGGAAAACGACTCCTGAGTCTGACCCTCAAATATGCAAACCTCTTAAATCTGGCTCTTAAGTGTACTGGCCTCCTAACTACCTTGCACCTCCTCATGGACTCTGTGTGCTTGTTTTCTTTGTCAGAACAGAACCACGGACTCATCTCCTAAATGCAATTCTTACTGGTTTTGTTCCTATTTCTCCTTCTGCCCAGAAAGACACCCTCCACTTGCTTTTCCACATCTAGTCACTTTCAAGGTCAACTTCTGCAGTATTTACTTAGTGTCTACTACACAATGAGGAACATATTCAAATCAGGTAGCACGGAATTAAAGATGATGTCTGATTCACAGAAATGACAACACCAATTCAAGGAAACTTTAAGAACTGGCCCAGTGATTGGGAAAATTAGGATGGGTCTGCAGCATGAGTAGAAGGGCAGACAAAGAACAAAAGATCAGATGACAGACGGGAGGTAGTGGGGATAAGCCTAGATCAAGGTGTCACCGTCACCGTGCGGTGCATTCAGGTATGTGTGCAGCAGCTGTATGCATGCCAAAACCACTGTGGTAACAAACCAAGTGTTTGACTGTATGTTCCCAGCACACATACAGCACCTCTCTAACTCCTAGAGAAATGAACAGAAGATGGAAAAGGCTGGCAGCTGCATCATCATTTAACTTCTCCCAAGCATCGGAGGAGCACTGGGGTATGTTGAGTGAGGTTCCCTTCTCCTTGGCCTTTTCCCTTGCTCTCATTCTGCCTCTGCCTCTCACCCTCCTCAACAAAGAACAGTTGGATTATTACTCACTTGATGTTTCAACAGGTAACTCACAGGCTTTAGGTTTTACCTTCTTCATTATTTTATGTACTGCCATAATAGAATGTACATTCATAAAACATTTGTATACAAAAAACAAATAATTAAAAAAAAAGAGGTAAGGTATTGGACTTCCTGGCAAAACTATCTGCAGAAAATAGGAAGAATTGGGAAAAACTAAACAGGCTTTCAGCAAAGAAAAGATCCACATCTTTAGAACTCCATGGCTGGATGTAGACAGTTAGTGTTGAAGACAGAAACAGTAAACTGAGGGACAACCCAGAGAAATTACCAAAATTATAGTAAGACAAAAACAAAACAGAAGTTAAACTTGATAAAATTTTACTGGGCATTCTAGAAGGACACTATAGAGAAAACAGGAAAATGGAAGAGCTCAGGAAATAGCAAGGGGGATCCAGAGCTGCTGGAAGGGGGATCCAGAGCTGCTGGAAGGGGGATCCTGAGCTGCTGGATGGCAGCACTATGTCAGAAGGCCCTGACTCCCACCTGGGTCTTCATGGAAGAGCTTATAGATGCCCTGCCACCATCTCTCAGCACTGTGCTTTCTTACGTACATTTTTCTTAGCTTCAGTCTTTCTTTTCCTTTTATATCAGGAACTTTAATTAATCTACTCAGATCCCACTTGCTTTTTCCCTAACAAAAATCTGTAATTCTCTTAAAAATAAATACGAAAAAAGAGAGAGTAATCTTTTTTTTTTTTTTTCTCGACAGGGTTTCTCTGTGTAGTCCTGGCTGTCCTGGAACTCACTTTGTAGACCAGGCTGGCCTCGAACTCAGAAATCCGCCTGCCTCTGCCTCCCAAGTGCTGGGATTAAAGGCATGCGCCACCACTGCCCGGCCAGAGAGTAATCTTAATGTTCTGTAGTGGAATAGCTTTCTTAAATGAATAAACTAAAGTCACTTAAGTTTGCTTGTAAGATGAATTTACTTGGGACTGGGGAGATGGCTCTGTGGATGCAGGGCATGCTGTGCAAGTGTGCTAGTCTGAGAGCCCTGGCATCCACAGAAGAGCTGGGTACAGGCCAGGAATGTGTGCACTAGGGGAAAGACGAAGACAGGAGACGGCGGAGTACCCGGCTCTCCAGGGTCAGTGAGAGACCCTGTCTCAGAGATAAATACATACAAAACAAGGTAATAATAAAAGACTCTTGAAATCAACCTCTGACTGCCATGTGAGCACAGGCAACCCCCCACACACACACACACATACTTACACATGCATACATACCACCCACACTAAAAAGAGTCACAAAAAGCTCAAGTGGCACCCAAGCGTGGGGGCCTCACTTCCTGCTCACCTCCATTTCATGTTTCAACCACTCCTCTAATTCGGTATTCTTTCGAGCATGGTGACCTACTAAGTCTGATCCTCCAATGATGTGTGGAAGCTTTCCTGCTCCAGGAAACGTAGCCTGCAAAAGAGTAAGTGGAAGGTAAGCATATTCATAAAGATAGCTATTTTTTTTAAAAAAATATATAAACAGTGTAAGTTGTGCATAAACATCTAAGGCGTGTATATTCCATTAGTGAAAAAGAGACACAAAAGCCTGCGCCAGACCCAGGCATTTCCACCCTCTCCTGCTATTACTGTATCTAGAGCTAGATAGGCCGCTAGGACTTACACACAAGTGAAAAACACTCACGAGTTTTTGTTTGTTTGTTTTTTTTTTGTTTTTTTTTTTGGTTTTTCGAGACAGGGTTTCTCTGTGTAGCCCTGGCTGTCCTGGAACTCACTCTGTAGACCAGGCTGGCCTCGAACTCAGAAATCCGCCTGCCTCTGCCTCCCAAGTGCTGGGATTAAAGGCGCCCAAGTGCTGGGATTAAAGGCATGTGCCACCAGTGCCTGGCTTACTCAGGACTGTAGGATTTATCTTAAAATTGCTTTAATTCATTACCTTTCAATCAAAGCAACCCAAGGAAAACAAACTATAGTTTAAAACACCGTATCTTATTCTAAGGTTTTCCAAGTTTAAGATAATCCCAGCGCTTGAAAGGCTGGGGCAAGAAGATTACACAGTTCAAAGCAAGTCTGGGTACATATCAAGTTCCAGGCAAGCTCATGTTTCATGTAATGCTATCACAAAAAGCTAAAATGGGGCTGGCTCTAGGGATAAAGGTACCTGCCATCAAGCCTGTCAACCTGAGTTCAATTCTCATGACTCATACAATGGAAGAAAAGACCTAACTGTCACATGTTGTACTGTGACCCCTGGACATACATGCTGCGGCATGTGCATACCCTTACACACAAAATAAATAAGCAAACAAACAAACAAAAAACTCACATAAATGTCTTAAAATAAAATGAGCAACAGTGTCAGAACTATAGCTCAATCAGCAGAATGTTTGCTTAGCACGGGTAAAGGGCTGACATAGATCCCAGCACTGGATGGTGCACTCCTGGAACCCCAATATCTAGGATTGGGTAAAGAAAGGAGGGTAAAAAGTTCCAGGTATTAGTATGTAAATGTGTCTAAGCATGGGTTCATACATTTGCACATGCTCATGTATTATTTGTTTTTTAATAAAATTACTTTACTTAGGGTAAAACTGTTCCCTCCAAGAGCCAAACAGTAACAAAAACCCCAGTACCAGACATGAAAAATCTTGTGAGTTGTTGGTCAGAGGAATCCAAGCAACTCCCAAAACAATATGGACCACTGCCATAGTCCTTGCTTGCCTCCCAGAAGTTGAAGTCAAGTCCTATTGCTGAAAACACCAAGTACTTTGGACATAAGAGTTGGAAAAATAAGAGCTGGATTTGACCTGGAAGCCTCCATTCTGAAAACTAGCTTTCACAGTCCCAAATAGAAGTGCCACTAAATGGACACTTCCCTTTGTCTCTGTCAAATAGGTTTTATTTATTAATTTGTGTGAGGATAAAAATAAAAAAAGAAAAATAGGCTCTGACTTTGATGAGGAGTGGGAAAAAGTGGGAGGACTTGGGGGAGTAATAGTAAGGGGGATCTGACTTAAATATAGTGCACACATCAGGTCTGACAGTGACAGAGGGAAGTGATGTAATACAGTGCACACATCAGGTCTGACAGTGACAGGGGGAAGTGATGTAATGCAGTGCACACACATCAGGTCTGACAGTGACAGAGGGAAGTGATGCAATGCAGTGCACACACATCAGGTCTGACAGTGACAGAGGGAAGTGATGTAA